TTACTTTTGTTCGCTGGCTTACTTCTCCAAAACTTGCACACACCGTACCAGTCACAGTTCGCACTGACTCAAATGAAGTTGAACCGCGAACATTAATCGAAGGTAGAAACCATCGTAATTTTACGGGTGGATTGTATAAATTCGTCCTAGGGAATTAACTGAGAATACACTGGTTTGCCTTCCGTTATATATATCGTTCGCGTACGCTTTTGCATTAACAGTCGTTTGGAAAAATGTCTACGAAAAACCGTGCATGGAAAAATGATCCCATGTAGAGCGTTAAAACTCACACGACACTTTGTTGTTAAATAGAGAAGTTTGTGTACTTACTGGACTGTTTCTGTGGAACGCAAGCAGTCTTTATCGCGACAGATAAATACACGTTTTCAAGTATACAATCTCAAACTCTAACGATTACGGTCAAAATACGATCACGATTCGATTGTAACGTGATATGTGAGGCGTCATGTAAATCAGCACCCTGCCTTACCTATAACTTACCGACTGTACATAGTATAGTGTATAACGGTGCAGAAGTAGAGCAGAAGAGGGCGCGTCGCATGATGAACAGCTGTGAGCTGTCAAAGTCAGCATATGTTTCTGCAAGTGTTGTGCAAAAAATGTTAAACTTGTAAATTTTATTATTTTCATTAAAAGTTTTGTTATATACTAACGCCAAGGTATAAAAACTGTGGTTTTGATCCATGTGTACTTATGGTATTTATCAAACGTAATCGTGTTTAAGTGTATTAGCAACTCGCTAATTGTAACGTACACCTGTCTTTCGTGAAGTAGAACTTTCAAAATTCACCTAGATTCAGTGTAATTTTAAATTTTCCTATATGTGTAAACCATTGTGTAACCAAAATGTCTAAAATGAACTGCGAGTACCTGCGAGCCCTCAATTTATTGTGCTTTTTAGGCAAAATGTCTGTGTCAAAACGCACCCTTTTTTTAATATGGCATGAAAAAGCTATCGCCACCAAGAAGTTTCTCGCCGTGGAAAATTATGTTTTTGGTACCGTTTTGAGTAAAATTACCTAAACTCAGAAGGAGCAGTGCGAAAATGCAAAGAAACTTCGAAATTTTGCTAGTAGGCTTATCTAAAAGTGGAAACCCTGTGGCAGAAGTAAGGTGTTTTTCGGAAAAATTAACCAAGAATGGCTAGATACACCATTGGTATTGTTGGGAAAAAAAGCAAATGAAAATATTGGACGACCGGAAAAAGATCTTTCCGAGTGCTGCAGAAAAACGCAAGTCAATAAGATGTCAGGGCTTACAGAGGAAGTGTCATGTGAAGGATTGTTGGTAGCTGCAATCTGCAGTTTATATAAAGCTGGAAAGCGCAGTGCTTCCAAAATTGTAGAAATGGTAAATGGCGATGATGAGTTTAGTGGAAAGGTAATACAAAATATAAACAAACCAAAGCCCCTTCCATCCAAATTTTCGGACGATAATGCGCTTGAGCTATTTGTAGATCTTGGACATACCAGATACACTTGGAACTTGAACAAGAAAGCAGCAAATAACCAAAACGCCGATATATATCCATGCTACGAAAAATTACGCTTCGCCAAAAAAATGTGCTATCCTACTGATTATTATGCTGAAGTGCCACTACAAAGTCTTGTGGACCATACAATAAATAGGAAGCACACCCTGAAAGTTTTGAAATCCCATCTACAAGTAATAATAACACCTATTTAAGTGCTGTCTACAAATGGGGTTGTGATGGCAGCAGCGGCCGTTCCACATATAGGCAAAAATTTAACGACTGCGAAGGAAAAATGAGAGACCAATATTTATTTTCAATTTGTATTGTACCACTGCAAGTGCAGAATGAACCGAGAGTTTTATGGAAAAACAATCGACCTTCTTCTACACGATACTGTCGACCACTCAAAATACTTTGCGAGAAGGAAACGGCGGACCTGAGTCGCAGGGAAATTGAAAATATTAAGAGCCAAATATTAAATATTGTACCAACATATGTAAACTCATTGATTATGATCACCAATTTCACATGACCATTCTTGATGGTAAAACTTTCAGCGTCATTTCAGAATCTTCTTCGCAAATATGCGGAATTTGCAACGCAATACCGAAAAATATGAATGAATTAAATATGGTGAAGAGCTTTCCAATTAAAGTGAACCTCTTTCAATATGGGTTATCAAGTCTCCACGCCTGGATAAGGTTTTTTTAATGTATTTTGCACATATCTTATAGAATACCAATAAAAAAAGTGGCAAACTCGTGGTGCTGACAAGGATATTGTTGGACAAAATAAAACAAATATACAGCAGAAGCTACGAGAAGAAATGCATTTGTTGGTTGACATACCAATGGCTGTTACTAGAAATACCAACAACGGAAATATGGCAATAAGGTTCTTTCAACAACCAAATTTAGCGGCTCGTATAGCTGGAGTGAACGAAAATTTAATATATCGATTCATCGTCGTCTTACGAGCACTTGCATGTGGATACGATATAAACACGGAGGCATTCAGACTTTACGCAATGGAAAATCCCGAAATTTTTGTTAGTTTATACCCTTGGTTTTACATGCCCTCGTCTGTTCACAGAATTTTAATTCATGGAGCAGACATAATCAATAATTTTTCGCTTCCAATTGGTATGATGTCCGAGGAAGCGCTTGAAGTCAGAAATAAAGATTATCGGAACATCTGTGAAATACGAGTAATACCAAAAAAAATTGAAAAAAAAATGCAATGGAAGATATAGTTAACGCAATTTCCTATTCCAGCAATATTAGTTTCGATAAGGAAGTTAAAAGCTTGCTTATAATGCATCATTTTGAAGATGATTTCTCTGAATCTAATACTGGAGAATCTGATTAATATTTCTTTTATAATATGGTTTCTCTTTGAGTCGACAATTTTTTTCTTATTTTATATATGCATATATGGCGGAAAATGTTTATTGAATTAAAAACAAAATAAAAAATTAAAAAAAAAAAAATTTCCAAAAAGTGTTTGATTTTTTCTGAATTGAGAAAAAAAATTTGAAGATATCTTCTTTACTTTACCGACCGGTACCGCCGAATGTTTGCGGTGTGTTAACTTATTCAATGATAAAAGAAAAAATAAAACCGAAATCAAATCGAAATATTTATTAATTAACAAAATAAAGATAAAGCTATTCAATCATTAGTTTGAGTTTGACCTCAATATTTCGTATAGCCACCCTTTTCTTGCAGAATGGCTCTTACCTGGACCTGTTGACCTGTTGAGTTCTCCCCAAATGTGTTCTATTGGGTTGACCGAAAACTTTAATTTGTTTAGTGGTTCACCTTTTCGGCGCCACACCCATTGCCTCCCATCTGATCCAAAGCGGTCTCGTCAGACCAGATAACTTTCTTCCAATTTTCGATTGTGAAATTTTATAATTTTTTATGAAACATAGCTTTGTTAAAAGAGGTCTTGCGTTGCGAATTGTTTCACCACAAACGTTAAGATGATAATTTTTCCGAAACTGCTTATTGATTTCTACCGCATTATCACATGCATCCTGATTTGCCTAATTATTTTGCGTTTAAGTGAGTGAGACAGAAAACATTTTCGTCCTGGCGACAGCATTTTTGGCAAATTTTCAATTATGTTTTGTTTCTGCACTCTTAGTATAGTACAACATTCTATTTAACATCAGGAAAGAAATATTTAAAAAGTTGTGCACACACGGTCAATGAATTGAGGAACTGTATACTTGCGTTTTGTCTTCTATTTACATCAATGGTGCGCACGCCTCAATACTACTACATTTTACGTTTGCGCTACACAAACATTGCTATAGATTTTTGCTGGCATGTACGCTCAACAAATTTCTACTGTTTTTTTTTATATTCAGGGAAAAAAATTATTGGCAAATTTGGAAAAAATATCAGAAATGTTTATTGAATTCTTTTTGTGTAATACTTGAAAATTTATAAAGTCGTTGACTAAATGGCTCGTTTTGATAATACATCATCAATATTGATTTCGCCTTTATACTCCTTAATGCGTAGAAGATCGGTAAGATGTTGGTCAGAAAGCGTGTTTCTTTGCTTATTTTGAATTTATTTGAAAGTGGAAAATTCCAATTTAATAAAAAAATAATTTTCTTGCCATTCGCTTGAAAACAGTTTAAAAATTCGAGGTGTTTCTGTCAGTGTACTAAATGTCGATTCTTTGTGTTGACCTAGCGTACGTGTTCAGCCGCTTTCGTGTGCGTGTGATATTTTTCGCAGTAGCAAAATTATCAGTCAAACACGCGTGTTTGGTTTTTTATTGCGTTGTTATTAAATGAGCGCCACTGAATTACATATATATAATATAACTTGAAGTAATATTTACGTTAAAAATGGCAAGACAGTTTATCTATTAAAAACTTTGAAAGTCTATTTTAACAACCCGTATTTATAAAATTGATAGGTTGTCAGTAATTAATGCTGATCTGTTAGGTTATTTTTGTTCTAGCCTCCGGAACAAAGTAACTATTTATCTCTCTTTCACTACACGTAGGTGCGATTTGCTTACTCGCTCTCTCCCATTGATTTTGCGCATCTGTTTGGTTAGCCATCTTTTAATGAAAATAGTTTGTTTGGTTATTGCTATGGCCACCTAGGAAACTGGTCGATTCGTTATTTGTTTGGTTATTCATTGGTCACCACTGCCTATCGTATCAGTCAAGTTTTTCCTTATAAATAAAATTGAAATTTCATTTTACTTCACTTTATTTTTTGAAGTTTACTTGTTTATACACAGTTATATTATCTCTTTCTATTTTTACAAATTTCCAATTATTATTTAGGGTTTGCTTTTAAAAATTACCATATAATATATTTGTATATTAAAAACTGGTATGGTATTTACTACATTAACATTATTTTTTTCGTCAAAAATTTATACATATATGATTTATATTGTTATACTTCATATTATTTATAATAAAAAAATACATTAATTTACTCATTCTTAATTTGTAAATATGTAAGCCAAATTAAAAATAACATTAAAAAAATAGTATTGAGTAATTTAAATATAATAATAATAGTGATTGAGTCCGACTGGAGATTTTTCCTCCAAAATTTGCTAACATCTAAAATGAATAGAAAGATTTAAATTTTTATTTGTTTGTATTTGTTACTACATTGTTATTAAGTTTTAAAAATAAATACTATAATTACTAATACTATGCTATTTAAGGTTGTACATTCCAGTAAGAGATGCGAATTCCTCCATCAACTTGTATAGGTGCTACCGCTTTCAACACAATTGTGGTAAATCTTGCTTTGGAGTTGATAAAGTTCAGCACCCCCAGTGTTGAGAAATAATAATATGAAACTTAAATATTAACTAATTGTTGTTAACTTACATTTTCCCACTATATTGTAAATTTTATCAATATATTCGTCAAGTTTTGTCTTATCAGTTTCAGGCATTGGTAAATCGCTCACTTTTACACCCATTCCGCCAACGAACTCTGCGCACCCTGACTATTTCTGTCATTCATACCCCACATAAATATTTTAAAAGCATCGTATTCTGGAAAAGTGACTACCAATACATTGTTATTGGCCAAGCGACACACATTTTATTTAACTGCACACATTAGAATTTCTATCTGCAATTAGAAACAATTTAATAAATTTTTAGAAACAAAATATAATTAAGTACTTATGTACATATACCGACAATGTCACGTTATTCGACGACCCACCAGCACCTTTTCGCCAAGGTTCCTAATGCCTGCTGTAAACGCGTATCACCTATCAACCATTTGAATGCCCATTTTTTTGTTATCGTTATTGTCGGAACTAAAAAAATAAAACAATAAAAATTCTTTGTAAAACCAAGTACATAAAGCCACAATCAATAATAATGGTACTGTTAACCACTTTGCACACATTTTTCACCTTAAATAAATGTTATAAGATACATTTTCAAATAACATGGAGTTCAATCGCATTTGGAGATTCGATATTACCTACACTCTCTATTATGCGACGCGTTTGTTCTTGCTTAACCCTTTTTTGGTATAGCGAGCTGTATTACACACTGAGGCCCACTAAAATTTTTCTTCGCATGGCGTTTCAATGGCGGCAAATGTTGACGGATTCACTGCCAATGTGTGCGTCTCATTTTCACACATTAAAAATTTTCGTATGATGAATGTTGCTACTCTTACGATAGAATTTTCCGGTTCAAGACAAAAAGTTACATAAGGATATGTTTTAGGGCACGAATCCGATTACTTTGGCGGAGGGGTAAAAACACCGAATTTCCGTAGAAATGGGGTTTGTACGGATAACGGAACTCCCCCAGTGGAGGAAAATCCAAAAAACAATATAAAAATAACAAATGTTTTTTAAAATATTCACGTTTAAAAATTTAAAAATTTGCATTAAGAACACATGTTATTTCTCTATGTTTCACTAAATTTTGTCACATTTTTTCATATGTATATTTAAATGCACACTCTAAGCATTGAAATAAGCTCACATTTCACATTTATTTTGTGATTTTTCAGCTTAATTTAGTAATTTAAAAATCACTTATCAAATTTATGGCTGAAAAGTTTAGAGTGTTTATATTTACGAGGAAAACCAGCTTCGGCACACCTTAAAAACCAAAAGTGAAGTATTTTTCAGCGTTTTACAGCGTTTTCTTTGTTTGTACTTTGGAGTGATTCTTTTTTCTTTATTAACTATAAAAAAACGATTAAGAAGATTTTTCAAGCTAAAATTGAATATGTGAACACTTTTCCATATATGAATATATGAATAATATGTGATTTATATTTAATGAACACAGATAAGTAAAATATTATATGACGATCCTATAATATTTATATGATTGTAATATAACATTTTTATATACATATTACAATTTTATACTGTCCTTCTCCGTTTTGACTCAGGCCGAGCGAATACCCGGGGTGACTGAAGTACTTTCGCGTAGTACTCCTTTCTGCGTTATAAATAAAAAAAAAATATTGAGTTTTTATTATAAAGTGGTTAAAGTGGTTATATTTTTTGGTTATCATGCACTCATATTGAAACAAAATTTGAGTTTTCGTTATATTTCGTATTTTGATTACACATTCTTTTATATTTTAGGTGACGATACATATGTTTTTATATTTAAAATTTAAGTTTTCGATATAAAGTGGTTATTTTTGTTTGTTATTAGGGTGGGTCGATTCTGGACTTTTTCGATTCGGGATTTCTAATAGTGCGGAAAAGTTGGCTTAGTACTTCCTGATTCCAATGCAACTTTTTGTTTTGAGATCGGATTGCATCTTCAATCCCAATTCCGCTCTTGAAATTTCGGAAATTCGCCTAAAATCGTGAAATTGTCTACCTAGCGCCTGAAGTACGCATATCATGGCAAAATGTATAAAACAAAAGTTATTTGTCACGTCATTTGCTACCGAAATGTTCCCGAGATACGAGCGAAAATGCGGCGCGCCACAGCGAAAGGTGAAACTCGGCTTGTACCCACACTTCTTGACGTTGATTTCGCCGAGTGCTATCACTCACATTCACTCACCTACGCCAAAGGACACGTTCGGATAGGTCTCCACACAAATATTTTTTCATCGAGTTCTTTACTCTTGTCGGTGATTTCGCCAGGTTCTATCACTTACATTCATTTCCCTGCGCCTTACGACACGTTCGGTCTCCACATAAATATTTTTTCATCAAGTTCCTTTACTCTTGTCGTTGATTTCGCCGAGTGCTATCACTTATCTTCTCTCAACAGAACACAGAACTCAATCTGTCTGCATCTAAATTTGAATTTAGACAGAAATGTCCTGTGTTTGGCATATATCCGAACAATCTCTCTGAGTCCCAGTTACCTACTTACCAGGATGTTCTTTTGTGTTATCAGTTTGAAAGATTTCGTATAGGGCGACTCCGAGGCGACAATTATGAACCTAGGAATAAAGAGGTTACAGAAATAGTTACAAAAAAGTTGAAAATACTTTCAAAAAGTCATCTATTCCGATAGTTTCACACACCAGAGTTGTACAAATGCTCATCACATACCATAAGAAATTTAATTTTTTTATTTTTCTTCTTGCACTTGTCCAAAGGAAAGGAAAGTTCCTATCAATGAACAACCATTTCTCTTGGACCAGAGAACCAGAAGAATTGGTCACATTGGAAGTGTTGATCTACCTGAAACAAAAAAGATTACAAAGAAAAATGAACGTAAAGAAAAGCTTTCAAAGCATAATTCAACATAAACACTTACCAGAAAAGTATCAGCTAGAATACATGACCATTCAGATCAGCCAGATTCTCACATTGAGTTTTCCAAAAACGATGCTGATGATGAATTTTCTCTTCCATCCTCTAAAACCAAACAAAAAACACTAGTATTGTTGTTGTTGTTGTTGTAACGGCAGAATTCTGCCGAGTTGACAGTCCTGGGCCGGATAAAAATCCGGGTCCGTTCCGGTTTTCGTAGACCCGACTGTCGTGGGAACGGAAAACACTAGTATTAGAACACACTGCTTTAGCTGCTCAAAGATTTGGAGTATGTGATAGAGCAGCGGCCTTGATTGTTTCATCTGCTTTTCTGGATGCCAAAAAAGCAGTTTCGATAACAGAGGATCAGGCTAGCTTTGGCACTGACAATTGCAAGATTAGTCGGGCAAAAAAAGTGTTGGAGTTAAGCTTCAAAACACCGAAAGTATTGACTCTGTATATGGGCTGTATTGCCGGCCGCAAAGACAATACACTTACACAAGTCAGCGAAGGTGAAAAGTACTACCGCGACACTGTCAMARAGGAACATATTTCTCTTATAGCGGAACCTGGTTGTCATTACTTTGGCCACGTCACCTCTCCCTCCGGGTCAGCTGACGATGAGACGCAAGCTATATGGCAACATTTACAAGACAATTCAGTTGATGTGGAACATCTAGAAGTTGTCGGTGCTGATGGCACCAACACGAACACAGGTTGGGAAGGTGGAATCATTCGGAAGCTAGAAGAAAGAATAGGTTGGCCATTACAGTGGGTTGTTTGTCTTCTACATTTCAACGAACTTCAATTTCGTGCTCTTTTCGAACACACAGAGGGTGTATCAAAGAGTCTAAATACATTCTCTGGCGACATCGGTAAACTGCTCTCTGATTGTGAGAAGTTGCTTGTTGTCAAATTTGAAAGTGTTTTATCCCGCCAATTACCTTCTGAGGTTATTAATCCGACCCAACTTAGCACAGGGCAAGCTTATCTCTATAAAATATCAGAAGCTATTATTTCCGGTCAGTGTTCCTCAGATTTAGCGTCGATGCATCCAGGTAACATGTGCAAATCTCGCTGGCTCACCTGTGCATATAGAATTCTGAGATTATACATTTCTACTGACAAACCAACAAAGGAAATAAAGATTTTAGTCAAGTACATACTTACAGTTTACTTATCTTTGTGGTTCTCAATAAGATTCAACAGTTCAATCAAGGATGGCTCGCGCCATCTCTATGCTGCAATTCAAATGTCCAGATATTTACCTGCTAAACTGCGCAAGGTTGTCGATTCATCCATTCAACAGAATGMWTTMTTTGCTCTTCCAGAAAACATTCTCCTTAGTATGATGACTGACGAACGGATAGAAGTCAGAAAGATGGCTTTTGACCGACTTCTGGCAGCCAGGGAAGCAGAGTCTGACTGTAAATGGAAGGGTTAGATGTAATAAAGTGGCAAAGCTGAATTTCAAAGCTAAAAATTATTACTATATGATTCACTGAAAGAATGATAGCACTCGGCGAAATCACTGACAAGAGTGAAGGAACTCGATGAAAAAATATTTGTGTGGAGACCTGTCYGAACGTGTCTTTTGGCGTAGGTGAATGAATGTGAGTGATAGCACTCGGCGAAATCAACGTCAAGAAGTGAGGCCGCAAGCCGATTTTCACCTTGCGCTGGGGCGCGCCGCATTTTCGCTCGTATCTCGGGAACGTTTCGTCCTACTGCCATGATCACATATACCATTTCGGTAGCAAATGACGTGACAAATAACTTTTGTTTAATACATTTTGCCATGATATGCGTACTTCAGGCGCTAGGTAGACAATTTCACGATTTTAGGCGAATTTCCGAAATTTCAAGACCGGAATTGGGATTGAGGATGCAATCCGATCTCAAAACAAAAAGTTGCATTGGAATCAGGAAGTACTAAGCCAACTTTTCCGCACTATTAGAAATCCCGAATCGAAAAAAGTCCGGAATCGACCCACCCTAATGGTCATGGCGAATGCAAGACGTATCGGAAATTGAAGTCGTTTAAACTCAAACGGCATGTCGGTTGGGATCATCGGGATCCTTGGAAAGAGAACTTCCTCACCTTCGAATTTTCCTTTGAGTATAACCAATTGTTATCCATATTGAAACAAAATTTTCGTATACTTTACACTTTATTACGAAATATTATTATATAATATTACTGTATTATTATATAATATTACTTATTTGCTTAACAAATTTAAAAAAGAAAATATCCGTATGCATGAATAGAGAAATTTTTGCGAAAAAGAGGATTTTCAGCGAATTGCCTAATCATCACATGGCAGCGTTCCATTTCGTCGTAATTTTTAGTAAACAAATGAGGTTCAAACGAGAGTAAAATGTAATTTTTAAAATAAAGATTTTTTAGGTAATAAACCTACTAAATGTGTAAAATGTGGATTTATTTAAAAGTTTATAGTGTAATTTAATTAATTTGAAGTGAAAAATGTGAACAAAGTGTGTTTAATTTGGTGAAATAGCTTATTGAAATGTTTGAGTTTTGCGAATTTTTTAACTTTAAGGTCGTATATCTCGTAAACTAGCGTTTGCGGTTCCCTATATATTTTTTAATCAGGGAACTTCCTCTTTCCAACGGTACCTTCAAATCGCGGCGCCAAAGAAATCGGAATTGTGCCTTTTTTAGTATAAGAGGTGAAAATTTTTTCACTTCAAATTCCAATGAATTGGTTACCCCTGTTTTGTAGGTAACTGATATGCTTGTTACTGCTAATATGTTTATACGTTAAAGGTAACAAACTGCTAACCAAAATAATAACACTGACAGAAATTCGGGTAACAAATACCTTTTGTTTTGAATAACACATAGGTAAGCTATGCGCAAATAAAAGTCTTTGTTACCCTCAACTGACTGTAAAGAGATTTGATAAAAAATTTATGTCAGAGAGAGCTAGAACAAGACAGCATATTTTTTATCTGTTAGAGCGAGAAAAGCATTGAACATCAAATGGTGATGTGCTACTTTTTTTTCACACTCTGCACAAACGTAAAAAATAGTTTAAGGTTTCCTAAAGTGAACAATAGCATGTCGCTTACACGCGTGCTAACAGATTCCCGTCTTTCAGGGTGAT